GAAGGAAGGAAGGAAGGAAAAGGAGAGGAAGGAAGGAACGAAGGAAAGAAGGAAGGAAGGAAGGAAAAGGAGAGGAAGGACGAAAAAGCTTCCGACCTACCAAGTTCACGTGTGGCAGAGCCCTCCCGTGGGGTGCTTCCTCACTGGCTGAGAGGAAATAAGCTTTGCTGTATGCCTACCCTCTCACAAATAGCTACAGGACCCATGTTCTTACTTACTGTATGAGCTGGGGTGCGTTTGGTCACCTACCATCTCAGTTTAAAAAAAAAAAAAAAAATCAACACACAAAACAAATCCCTCTGACCGAAATCTCTGAAAGAGCTCGAAGCTAGGGTTCAGGAATCGTGGGAGCTAGGCTCCCTGGAGAGCTCTGAGCATGTTTGAGTCCTCAGTTTCCCCACCTGTCAAGCGGAGATGTTAACAGTGCCTCTATTTTACGGTGAGTGGGTTTCTACCGTTGTTAAGCAGTTGCTTTCCAAACACTTCCAGGGCCCTGGGGAGATGAGGAACGGTTTCCTCTTTTATTTGGAGGGGCTGATTATGGTGAGGGTGACAGTCCCCCTTGGTCACCCTGACTGTTCTTCTGTGGTGCTCAGGGACGTGGGAGCAACATCATCCACTGCCGGAAAGACGGCACCTGGAGCGGCTCCTTCCACGTCTGCCAGGAGATGCAGGGCCAATGCTCGGCCCCGGACCAGCTCAACAGCAACCTCAAACTGCAGTGCCCGGAAGGCTATGCCATAGGTATGGTGGGCGCGTGAGGGTGGCAGTGGGAGGGCCAGGTCCTTCTGGGAGCCTGGGGCTAGTGCCTCGCTCGTGATGCCCCGTGGGAGGGAGACAGAGATGAGAGAGACCAGGTCCTGTGCTCCCAGAAAGAGAGTGAAGGGCACGCATGTTGGAGAAGCCAGGGTCGGTGAGTGTGGAGAGTCAGACCGGAGTACAGAAAAGCTGACTGCCGTGTCGGGGGACACAGAAGGCTCCCAGGGGAAGGGATGCTGCTGTAGGGATTGGAAAGAGCTTGTTGGGCAGGAGATGGGCTTCCAGACGGAAGGAACCATATGGTGCAAAGGGAAGGAGACGCGGAAGCACACGTCGTGTTTCGGAGAGCAGTCGTGGTCCGGTGTCAATCTTAAATTGTGCATAAACCTAATACTTCGTGAGTACCTATTAAGGGTCAGGCCCCACAGCAAGCACTTTAGAGGCATCGTCTCGTATCTGCTCCATGACCTTTAACAGATGAGGAGATGGAGACTTGAAGGGATAACAGAATATCTCCCTTACTCTGAAGCCCGAGTTCTTGCCCTGGCATCTCTGTGGCCTCCCACTGAGAGGATAAAGAGCATGTTCAGAATCCTATTTGTGTGGCGATAGGCTAGCTCACAAAGTGCTCACAGTGAGGGGAGACAACCTGGGGTTTGATGCCAGGGATTGGCCTGGTTGAAACCAGGCGTCTGGACAGATGCATTAATCACAGGCTCCGAGGCTTTCTGGGGAAGTGGGCGTGCATTGAGTCTGACCTCAGTTGAGGGCGGTGATGCTGACCTCTTGGGCTGATTCCCTAATTGACCATGATGAAAAGCCCAGGGAATTGGATGTTCTTTCTCATGGCCAGTGTGATTTATGGGATAATCACCAGGGATGTCTGGAGCAGAAGGTTATCACGCACACACTCACTCCCAGTCACACAGAGCCAGTAAGTTCTGCATCCAGCAGAATGGGAGCTGTCACTTCTTATCCAGAATCGAGGCCTGTGGTTGGAGAGGGGAGGTGTGTGGGGCCTCTGACCACCGCCTCTCAAAGAGGGAAACAGAGCCTGAGAGCACACATATGTTCTTCACCTACAAGCAGACTAGGAATCAGCGCTCCTGCATGGAGCCCAGAGCATCTGCTCCTACGTGGGTGAGAAAAACCTCCAAGTGCAAGGTTGCTGTCTCCGATGATTCAGAAGATACTTTAAGTTCCTACAGATTCACCAGTCCAAAGGACCCTGACCAGGACAGTTGCAGAGGGGTGGTATCTTGTGTCATTTGCCAATATAGGCGTTCTAGAAGGTTGGGGCAACAGGTGTAGCAATGGTCAAAAACATTGGCTGCTCTACCCCAAAGCCATCACTTTCTTCTCTCCATCATTCCTGATAGGTGGTTCTAGACACTTATGTCTGTGATGGGGTCCCCACCCCCAACTCGGTCAGGATACGCAAGTGAATATTCACTTATACTCATGACTGGTATTAAATGGCCCTGGGAGGGAAAATTTTCATTAAGTGACTTATTTTAAAAAAAAACAAAACAGGGTGCCTGGGTGGCTCAGTTGGTTAAGCGACTGCCTTCGGCTCAGGTCATGATCCTGGAGTCCCTGGATCGAGTCCCGCATCGGGCTCCCTGCTCGGCAGGGAGTCTGCTTCTCCCTCTGACCCTCCCCCCTCTCATGTGCTTGCTCTCTCTCATTCTCTCAAATAAATAAATAAAATCTTAAAAAAAAAAAACACTTATAGAAACAGACTTCCTGCCTGTCTACCTCCACGGATACGCTCAAATATATCCACACATGCAAAAATAAACACAAGCACAAATGTTTAATAACCATAGACCCAAACCCACGCATCATTAACTCATGCCTGGCACATACGCATCAGCCAAATACTGCACAAACACATCACCTAACACACACACACAGCGGCACGTAATAGGCACACAGGTGTGACATTTGGTCACACACCTGTCACAAGCACATCTTATGCCCTGACACATGTTACCTGTGCAGAGAGATGCACACGGCCACTGTGTGCATACGCCCCATGCACGTGTCACAGCCGCACACGGCCTGGCTCTCGGCTCGCCCAGCTAGAGGGAGGCAGACGTGTGGCCGTAGCATTCCTTTGCCCACCGAGCTTTTTCACGGTCAAGCAGAAAGGGGAAGAAGTCAGTAGGACACTGGAACCTGGACGTCCTTCCCTTCCCGGTACCCATGTCCCCCACTGCCATGCAGATGCCCCTTTTATGAATATGGTGATCCACGGTGGCCGGGGTGGGAGGCAAATGCGGGAGCTAAGAGGGTAAAGGCAGCATGGGACTCTGGGAGACAACCATTGGGAAGGAGGGGAAACAGGTTTCCCTCCTGACCTCCAGGTCCCTCCCCTTCCTCACCTCCAAAGACTCCCACATCAGAAGCCCAGGCTGAGCCCCTTCCTGGGGAGAGCCCACCTCACCAAGGAGGGGATTTGATCCAAGGCCTCATAATCAGGGGTGAGATGTGTGTCCCTTCCTTCGTGTGGGCTTGGGGGCTGGAGGACACGTTCTGGAGCCACCCAGAGCAGCTCCCTGTGGGCCCCTCCCCAGGCAGCACAGGCTGGCTTCAGTGGCAGTTAGGAACCCTCAGAAAGTTGCTTCCCCACCCCCTCTCCCCCCTCCCTGGGAAGGAGAGGCAGGGGCCTGGTGAGATCACCCTCAGTAATGATGCCAGTTCCGGCTGGCTCATATATCACAACATAGTAGCCTGATCCTAAAGCCCCAGCCCCGTGGGTGGGGGAGGAGAGCACAGGGGAGGGAGCTGCGGGGAAGGGGAAGGGGAGACGGGGCTGCTGCTGAGCAGGGCAGGGATGGCCTCCTGCGTTGACCATATCTTCCGCTTTGTGCCCCTCCTGGGAAAAGAGAGCCTTTGGCTTTTCCTCATGGGCTGCCTCTTGTTTTTGCAAAAGAAGATTTTATCATCACAGCCTTGCTTCTACCTCGCTCCCTAAATACTCCTTTAGAACAGATCTCCTGACAAACACACAGTACTGACTTTCTCCAGCTACTTCGTGACTCCCCACCCCGCCTTATTCCCATCACTCATCTTTTTGGTATTTTTGCACCCCCCCCATTTCTTTTCTCTCCTCTACCTTCCTTTCTCTTTCCTCTTTTGGGCTCCCCTGTATCCATTGCTGGGCTCGGAAGGCCGAAGGACGTGGGTTTTAATTCATGGGCCCCTAATGGCCTGCTCTGTAACCTGAGCTCTGTGCACTCTCTAACCTGAGAAATGGGTGTGATGACAACCTGTGGTACAGCACGGGATATTCAGGAGAACGTGTGACATGAAAACCACCTGCACGGCCAGGGATCTGCCCCCCCTTCTGGGCTGGGGGGCCCTGTGTGTAAAGTGAAGAGGTTTTAAACACTGTCCTAGGCCTGACACTCCACCCTCATCCCCTCTTCAGTCCTGTTGAGTCTCTCAGACTGAAGAGATGGACAAGAGGGCAATAAGAAGGGCCCTCATAGATAAACTATATATACATATATAAGTATATGTGTGTGGGGGGGGGATACACACACACACACACCCCTTTAGAATGGCTACTAGAATCGAGTTGGCTGTCTCTTGGGGTCCACTTAGTGTTCAATGGTGGTCCAGGCATTAAGGTAGAGGAATGACCTCCTTAGGGCCTTGGTCAGATTCTGACATGTCCATTCTTTGCCCACGTGAATGAGCACGGCTTGAGAGTCCTAGAGATACCTCGTGGGATAGGCTTGGTTTTCAGGAGACTTTACAATGTGTGAGGTCAGGGTAGAGAATGAATGCACCAAATTATGGTCGACTTGCCAACCCACAGCTTAAAGTCAGGTGTCCCTCACCGAGGGCTGCTGTGTACCCCCGCCTGTCCCTGTTTATCATCAGTGCATTCATTTTCTCGTTCCTTTATCCACGTATCCAGTTTTGTATTCATTCTCCCCCATCTGGGTACCCATGTCCTCCTGTGCATTCACCCACTCCCTCAGTCCCTTGTCCATGGATGCATTCACGCACTCCCTGTCTCTCCCACTCATTTCACAAATACTTGCTGCCATGCACAGTGCCAGGCTCTGGGCATGGAACGGGGAGCATGGAGAGGGCTGGCCTCAGGAGTTTACAGTCCGGCAGGGAAGAGAGCCATCAATACAACAGTCACCAAGCCCGTGGGAAGGGGCTAGTGCCCGTGAGAGGGCTTGGCCTGTCAGGAAAGCAGGGAGGGCTCCTCGGAGTAGGCGGCACTTGGACTGAGGTCTGAAGGATCACTAATAGTGCACTAGTTGAAGAGAAGTAGGAAGGGTCTAAAGGCACAGGGGAGGCGTGTGTGCAAGCCCTGAGCAAGCAGAAAGCGAGGAGCTAGGAGGCTGTGCTGCATTCATGGGCTCACCACGCCCTGGGCTGATGCATCCTGAGCAGTCCCTGCATGTCAGGCACCGGGCTGGGCTCATAGATGAGTCCCCCTCCTCCTTGTCCATCTAGGGCATCACTGTAACTGTGGAAAGGTAGGCACAGGGATGGCGTAAGGCCAGCACTGAGAGACTCCTCGTTGCTGAATACTGCTCTCACTCAGGCGCAAAAATCAGGGCAGGCTTCTTGGAGGATTTGAACTGGGCCATGAAGAACTGATAGGATTTGACCTTGAGAAGGCAGATGGGGGTGATTCAGGGGAAGGGGTGAATGGGAGCAGAAACATAGAGGCAAGGGGTTGTGGGACTCAGGTGGAAAACCTAGGGCAATCTGGCTGGACCACCCAAAGCGTGAAGATGGTTAATGGGAGACGAGATCGACTAGACCATGGGAGCCCACGGATGCTGGGCAAAGGGGATTACACTTTGTCCTGCTTGTGGACAACCTTAGAAATGTTCTCAAGCAGAGGAGGGGCATGACCAAATGGGGCTCAGGGCCAATGAACATGGCGGTGGGTGTAGGCTGTTCGTTGGAGACAAGAATAGAGTCAGGGAGACCAGAGGCTGCCCCGCTGGGAGTTCACTTCTTTCCACTGTCCTCAAGGCCGGGATGGCCTGGTCCACTGGGGACCAGGCATGACAGGGCCTGTACGGTGGGAGAGCAGCCCATGGGTATCAGGGGACTGGGGGCTGAGCTGTGGCCTCACTCTGTGCTTGCCCTCAGGGTCGGAGTGTGTCACCTCGTGCCTGGACCACAACAGCGAGTCTATCATCCTTCCAGTGAACGTGTCTGTACGGGACATCCCCCACTGGCTGAACCCCACACGGGTGGAGGTGAGTGCAGGGCTGTCTCCGGTGGCTAGGGGAGGGAAGTGACTCCGTTGGACACTTGCTGTGCCCCAGTCCCTCATTAGTCCTTTCACACATGTTCAATCATCGACTTGTCACGCCTGTTCTGAGGGGTGGGCACTGTTCACGATCATCTCTCCAGGCCACCAGCATTTTACCCTTGCCCTCGGCCAGGCCTGTGCGGAGGACCTTTTATTTACTGTTCCACTGCATCCTGATGACAGTCTAGGAATAAGAGGACCGTTGTCCCCAGTTTAGAGGTGAGGACACGGAGGCACCAAGAACACACAGAAAGCAGAGTCAGGTCACAAACCCATGTCTGTCTGACCGGAAAGTCTGTACCTGTAAGGATAGCGTGATCCGGCTTCTCTAGACAAGCTCTTAGATGGCCTTCCATGTGCCATGGCCTAGATTTCTGGTATCCTTCTCCATGCTTAACTTGTTTGGTGGAAAGCAATTAATATGTGGTCTGGGGAACCGGTAACACCCATTACTTATGAAGCACCCATTATGTGCATGTGCCCAGCACTCAACACACAAGACTGTATTTAAGACTCAGGATTGTTGTATGGAGCAGGGGGGCATCGCCTGCAGTCCCTGCTTGGGGACACTGAGATCTCAGGAGTGAGCAACGGGCCCAGGGCGAGGGCTCGAACCCGAGCCTGAGTCCAAGTGCAGTGCTTGTCCTCAATGTCTAGCTGGTGTGGCCCTGGCCAGAGGCCGTGTAGGCTCCGCCTCCTGGCAGCTGCCTCCTTGCCCAGGTCCACCTGGGGGCTGGCCATTCCCATGGTCTATGTGTCACCTGATCCATCCGTGGCCCTACAGCTGAAGCGGAACCCCACTCCTGCCCTCAAGGGCAGCGCAGACCCTGGGCCTCATGTACCCGTTCTGGGTCCTGGCTCAACCTGGAGAGAGTGAAAGAGGGAAGCAGGGCCCACAGGGCAGTGTTCGGTGATGTCCCTCCCGGCCAGCCTTCCTGCTTGGGGCGTGGGGGGCCTCACTGTCTGCCCTCCTGCTGCAGATCCCGCTCCAGATAGCCAGGCAGAACCCGATACGAGGTGTACTATTTCTCAAATGAGCTGAGGGCATGATTGCGAGGGCTTACTCAGCACTCGGCCTGTGGTGCTGGCACTGGACTTGGACGCCCCCTCCGCTCCCCTGTGCACCACAGCGTTCTTCTCCTCCCCTCCCCTCCCTCCTCCTCCCCAACTGCCCTCTGCCCTACCTCCAAGTCCTGTCCCTTTTGCCTGCCTCTGTTTCCATTCTGTTTCTCTCTCCCTCTCCCAAGACATCTGTCACCTTGCTCCATGTCCCGCCCAAACATCCTCTTTCCCCTCTGTCTGCCCCTGACTCTCCCATGCATAGCCTAGGTAGCCCTGTCTCCCCGACCTCATGCTCCCCATCTGTTCTCTGCCCTCGGCATGCCTCTCCCCACTGCTAACCCAGCGCCCCACACAGATTCTCACCGAATGCCCCGGTGAATGCCGGCGTGCTGTCCATACCCAGGGGTGCGCACAGAACCCCCGTGTCAGAAGCTCAAGGAAGTTGGAGATCAAGTACAAGCCTGTCGTTGTACAGATGGAGAAACTGAGGAGCACGGAGTGAGGGGATTAGGCCAGGGTCACACCGGAAGCAGAGCCATGCCCCCCGTCCCCTGCCCTGCTCCCACATACCCAAAGGCAGGGGAATTACACTCCTACACAGAGCAGACACAGGAGACCTCCCTCATACCCCAGCCCTGGAGGTCTTCTCTGTCCGGGATTCGGACCAGTTTCCCCTGGCCCGGCTCCCACCCAGGCCTTTTCTCTGCCCCCTCCCGCCCCCAGGTGAACTCCCACCCTTCCCTTGGTGAGCCCCGGGCACTAAAGAGTTCAGTTATAATTCACTGTGAAATAAATCCAGGGATTTGAAAGCCTGGGAGCCCCCCCTTCCCCAGTTGCCCACCCGCTGCCTGGCCGCCCCAGCCCCCTACCCCATTCCCTGGTCTGCCGGCCTTTATTGATGCCGGCCTACGGAGAGAGCCATAACGAGGTTCAGACCTCCCCTGGTCTCCGGAGGCCTCATTATCCAGGAGGAAAAAAATGTGGTAGAAACAGGGAGGAGGGTGAAGGGCAGAGATTGATGATTTCCAGGAATAAGGCAGAAAAGCTGGCCTCTGCTGTACCCTTGCCCCCCGTGTGCTGAGAGCTACAGAGAAACAGAGCTGCTGGTGCCGGGGCTGCCGGGCCAGGGCAGAGGCCTCCGGGGCCCGGGCAAGGCAGATGGGTGGGGGCCGGGCTCGGCTCCAAGTCCGCTTACCTTTGTCCCGAGGGAAGGAAGTGCGGGGCTAGAACGCACATTTCGTGGATGCCGCCTGTGAATCAGGCACGGGGTCATGCTTCCTTTACACCCCTTCCCCTGCCCCCCACACACCCGGTAAGGCGGGTTTTTGTCTCTCCCCTGTTTCCAGTGGAGGAAGTGGAATCTCAGCGGGGGAAGCCCCTGGCCTGAGAGGATATAAAGGGAGCCCCTGGCCAGTCTAATGTGCCGTTGTCTCAGGCTCCCCGCGCAGTCTCTGCTGAACGCACGACAGTCATAACAGGGGCAAACCATTTACTGACCACTTGCCAGGGAACGTGCTGCTGCAGAGTTAACCACTGGCTCTCCGCGCTCCCCTCCCCCTGCATTGCCCCCCCCCCCAAAAACAACCACCATCTAGAGCTCTGATTTGTAGTATTTGCCAGTTACCATGGTGTACCCGCCTGGGTTCCCAAGTTGCCCTCGCTGCGCACAGCGCTGGGAGGGATAGGCACCACCACCTCTCGTGGGTCCACTCGAGCCGGCCGAAGCCCACGGTGGCGTGTGGGGCACGACAGCCTCTATTTTAAGTACTTTACACGGATCGGCCTATATGACGAGAACAACACCTACTTAGATGAGTGGGAGATCACCACCGAGATGGCGTGCTGTGATGAGCGCACTGGAATGGTGACCTTTGTGAAGGCAGGCCCACGGGCCTCTTACTCACCACGGCACTCCCCTTCGTGCCTAGCTCGCAGTGGGTGCTCGCTAAATACTAAGGTTTGCGGGATCAGGTGACCAAGGTTCTAGTTCAAGCCCGGGCATCTTCTTGCGGTCTGTCCTTGGACAAATCCTACCACTTCTACAAGCTGCAGTTGGCCCATCTGTGGAATGAGAGATAGGCCTGGATCAAGAGTCACAAAGTCAGACCCCCACGGGAACCAGGCTGTGGGACAAATGGGTGAAGCAGGCCAGGCGTGTCATTCTGTAGATTACATACCTAGGCATATTATTAATACTGGTAGCAGGATTTATTAGACATATTTCAGACAGACACACGTAAAATAATACAAATGCCCATGTACATTTTACCCAACTTAAGAAATGACTTTCTAAATTTTCTTCTTATTGAGATTTAATGCACATGCTGATTTTACATGTAAGGTTTGATCAGTGTCCATGTTTGTGGCCACTCCTGAAACCACTCCCCAGGTCGGGATCCCTGGCTCCCCAGAGGTCATCCCCTCCCCGTGCCAGGCAATGGCTATGCCCCCAAGATAACGTCTACTGGGTTGGCTTATTTTTTTTTTATTGAGGTGTAATTGACATATAAAATTATATTAGTTTCAGGTGTACTAAAATTTTTAGTTTTACTTTCATGAAGAAAAACACTCCCTTTATTTGTTTAAAGTTCTCTCCTTTGAAAGCCCCCACTCCCCCACCCCCACCACCCCGCATGTGCTGTTGGAAGTGATAGGGACACGGAGCAATCTTCCTCACATCTAAGAAAGGAGACAATACAAACTTAGTGACAGATGGCAATGTCTCTTGGGCTCAGTGCTGGAGAGACTGCAGGGAAAGGTGGGGACAGTGGTGAACTCTGGAAAACACATCCTGCTTCCCTAGGGGGCAGCTCGAGCCAAGTGTGGCAGTGTGGAAATGGGTGCTGAGTATGGCTAGATCTCCCACTTCCATCTTGAGTATAAGAAATCTGGAGTCTTTAAAATATAAAATCTCTAAATTTTTTTTTAAATACTGGCAAATAATTTTGACTCCTGTCAAGCACATTGTATGCCAAACCGAACATTTCTGTGGGTTGTGTAGCCTGGAAGCTGTCGGCTTGCAACCTTTGGATGAGGCAGACTCCTAGCCCTGGGCATCTGGAATTCAGGGTAGCAGCCTCTCTGTCACCAGCTCTGAAGGAGCACCCCTAGTCTGCCCTGTACCTCGACTTGTTCCCGGAAAATGCAGTGCACAACCTCAGAGGCTTATAATTCCTCTAGGCATCTGGGAACTTGGATTTTATAATGGCATCTGGGCAAAGGATGGAAGGAGGGAGGAAAAAGAGGAGAAGAAGAAGAAAGGGAGGGGGGTACTTAAGGGTAAAAAAAAAGGAAGTTACCATTTGTTATCTATCACTGTTTGTTAGGCAGGTCCAAATATGCCACCTCGTTTTGTCTCCACCATATTCCAGTGAGATCAATAGTATCACCATTTTACACAGGAAGAAGCTGAAGTTCTCATTGGGTTTTCACTGCCCAATTCACATAACTAATGCGGTTGAATCAGAATTTGGACCCAGGGCTAATTCTCCTGCATTTTGTCTTGCAAGACAACCACCTTATATATTATGCATCATAACTCGACACTTGCAGACAAAGGATGCAGAATTCATTCCTTGAAGGGAAGGCAGCAGCACTGTGGAAGGCTCTGTCAAGAGTCTAAAGTCAGAGGTAAAATGGTTCTGAGTGAGCATGAAGTCCAGAGATGTGTCCAGAATCCAGTGATTTCTCATTCACTCATTTGGTTACTGGTTCACTCACTCATTCAAAAACATTGATGATGTACTTCTAAATGGCAGGCATTCTTCAAACACAAGGCATTCGGGGTGGAAAATGCCAGGCTTTTAAAGAAAGCCAGAAGCTCCATAACTGATAATGAACGGCAAACATAAGTTAAATGATATCATTCATTCACAGAAAGTCCTATACATCAAGGGAAGAATTAAGGAGAAAAGAGGGCTCATCTTAGAAGGTTTCAGAAGGGGTGTCCAATATGAGCCTCAGGATGGGGAGGCTCTCTTAAGATGCTTTCTCGCATGTCTTCAGCTCTGCCTGGGGCCCCATCTTCCTGGGATTCCTCTTGGAGACATTCTGCCCCACCCCGATGCCTACTTTTCTCTCAAAGCCCCTCCACCTTTCTGAACCTTGGTCTTTCCATCAGGCCAAAGAGTAAACTATTTTATATTTACAGTTTTGGGGGCTAGGGGAATGTGAAGGAGAGTGTAGGGTTTAAATATAGATCTGGAAATCAGAGAGCTATGGGCTTATTTCCTGAGGGTCATTACCTGTGTGTATGGCTTGGAGCAGGTTAGTTAACTTCTCTGTGGTCTGTTTCCTCCTGTATAAACCAGACTAAAAAATAATACCTCTCCCATAGTTATGGTAAGAATTAAATAGATAAAGCTCTGAGGACAGGGCTTGTGTGGATGGGGATGATGACAGGGTTGGTAGCAGTGCTATGATGATGATGATGATGAAGACGAAGAAGAAGAAGAAGATGACGACAATGACGACGAAGACTAAGAAGACGAAGAAGACAACGATGAAGACGACGACGACGAAGACAACGAAGAAGTTGAAGAAGAAGAAGATCATGATGAAGGCGGTGGTGGTGGTGGTGATGTTGATGGTCATTGCAACCAAGAAGGAAGGAGAGTGTATTCTTCTTATGCACCAAGGCAGGAAATGAAAGCCGTCTTACAAAACCTGGTCTGAAAGCTCTCTCACTGGGCTAGAGGTCTCATTGGCATCCAAAGGAACAAGGCTGACATATGAGGGGCGTCATCTGGGATCTCCCAATTTGTGGTGTGAATAGCCTAGCTTTTCCTTCAGCTCCTGCTGCTTGCCCCCTTCCAGTTCTCCTCACATACAGAGGGGCCCTGTAGTGAGACACGTAGGGCAGGTAGCCCTAAGGAATAGCAGAAAATCCAAAAGCCTTGGAAAGATAAATAGACTCATGCGGATAGTGTAAAAGTCCTTTTAATGAACTCACGTCAGGTAAACCTCAGCTGACAGAAACTTGTATAACTGCACCACAACACTCCTACAGATGGATTAAATTAGCTCTCAGATAAACAGGGGGAGGGATGGGCATCAAATCCCTTGTGGATCCCAACCCTGCTGTGTTCTATTACTTGAGCCATTACCAAGGGCCCCTCCAGCACCCCTGGATTTTGCCTGGGGACAGACTCTCAGACCCAGAGATGAAAGCCTGGGTAAGGTCTCCCAGAGAATGAAAACAGGTGATACTCTCTGCTTCTGGCCCTGAGGCTGGGAAGCAGAGGGCACTAAAGTAAGCCAGAAGAAAGAAAGGAACGCTGGAGCTACTCACATTCCTTCATCTATCTGGTCAACATGTATTTGCTGTGCTCCAGGCCTGGTCCTGGGGAAAGACAGAGATGTCTAAAACCCAGGTCCTCGGTTAATCATTCCCGTACCGTTTATCTCCATGTATCATCACGACAAGCCCCATGATGTGATTTTTCAGGACCCATTTCACAGACGGGAGAACCAAGCCTCAGAGTGGAAATTTACAAAGCAATTTCAAGTTGAATTGCATCCACATCTGACATACCCCCTGCCCAAGGTCTTTCCCACATGTCATCTCATCTAGGTGTATTGGGAAAAGGTAGAAAGGTGCAGGAGGGGACTACATAGTAGACTTCACATGGCAAGACTGGTTGTCAGATCTTCAGCTTAGGATGTTTGTTTAATTCTGCCTACACTAAACTGGTTTTCTAGACACTATGCTAGGCATGGTAAGGGCTCTTCTGATGTTCTAGAAGAGAGGAAGACAAGTAAAGAAAACACTGCCGATTGATAAAAATCATCTCTATTTTGAGATGTCACCATGCATTTATAACAAAAACATTTATGGGCATCCTCCATGTGCCAGTCGCCATTCTAGGTGTGGATGATCCAAGGGTGAACCACGGATGCTGTGCGGCAGAAAAGAAAGGCACCAACCCAGTCTTAGCCCGATCTTGGAGTCATGTGATTCCTTTTGCTCCAAGCTCACCAAGAAACCTAATTACAGTTGGGCTCCCGTATAGGTCTGCCTTCCGGGAGAAATTGGGCTGGTCAACATGATTTCCCATATTCTGGTCCATAGGACTGTTCATTTCTTCATTAAAATTAATCAGCTGGCACTCATCCAGGAGAGCAAGCCCTGATCATATAGACTTCCATGGCTGGTCCCTGACACTTACCTCTCATTGCAGATCTAAGCATTTGCCTCCAGGTTATTTTCATTTTATTTTTTAAAGAAATCATTGTAATTTTGGCATAAAAAGTAAGGCATCTATAGCAGAATAGAGAAAGGAGCTTCTGGGAACATCATATTAGCCCCATTTCTGATGCTATTTACCTTCCTAGCTTTATCTTTCTCTTTTCACCTCCTTTAAAAATTATCCTCGTATTGGATTTTATGTTATGAGCTGCCTTAAATAATTTCCAAAATGAGTGCTCCATTTCAAATTCTGGTTTCTTCACTAAACAGCTATGAGGCCTGGGGAATTTATTCTCCTTATGACCCAAGATTAATGCCCAGCTCACTGCATGGTAACGAGTAATAAATAAGATAATACATAAAGTAATCAGCACCACAAATGAACTCAATATATTTTAGTTGTCATTATCATAGTAGTAATGATTATTATTAAAGGAGGCTATAAATAAATGCATACATGCAAACCTAGAAGCTCTGAAGGGGTTGGGGAAGGCACCACGGGGGAGGTAAGTCTTGAGCAGCAATTTAGAAGATAACTAAAGCTTCTCCAGGAGACAAGATGGGGAAGGGCATTTCAGGGAAGGAGAACCACAAGAACAAAATCACAGGGGTGTGGCAGTGTGGACAATGTCAGGGAATTGGGAGCAGGCCCATATGGCATGGTGGCAGGTGGAGACAGGAAGGGTTCTCCATGTCTCCAAGGGTTCTGAGCCAATCCACTGCTCCCAAACTGTAGTGTGTATCAGAATCATCTGGCAGTCTTGTTTTTAGAATGTGGAGTCCCAGGCCCTGGCCTCAGAGATTTGGATTCATTAGATCCAAGGTGTCTCTGAAGTATCTGCCTTCTTAATGAGCTCCCACAGTGACCCTGGTGAACGTGGTCCTCAGCACATGCTTTGGGAAACCCTGCTCCACACTATTCTCCCATCTTCCTGCTGCAGCCGTATATCCACTCTGCCTTTCCCCCTGCCTCCCACCTTGTTCCTAACTCCACCCATGGATCAAACATCAGCCAAGAATTTCCTGAAGGGCCTTTCTGATCACGTCTTCATCCCCCAATTCTGCTTTTCTTAAGTCCTTATTCCTGCCAGGAAGATACAGAATCGTGATGCCTACAGCAAACACAAATACTGCTGTAATCTTATGGCTCCTGTTATTGCAAGTACCTGGGCAAATTATCATGAAAATGCCAGGGTGAAGTCAGGAATTGGAAGATCCAAGAAAACGTGCGGTGATTGAATGTGGTGCCAACAACGAGACAGCTTCCTCCCAGCCCCAAACCAATCTGACTGCTCTCTCCCTCTCTCTGCAGAGAGTAGTCTGCACGGCTGGTCTCAAATGGTATCCTCACCCTGCTCTGATTCACTGCGTCAAAGGCTGTGAGGTGAGTCCCTAGAAGTGATCCTACTGTTGTTAACATTATTATTATTGTTCTTATCTTAATTATGGCTGCCATTTGCTTTATTTACAAAATGCTGTAAATATACCTTTAATAGACTTCTTGGACAGGAATGAGCAACCCCATTTTATAGATGGGGAAATTGAGGCACAGAGATATCAACAAACATACTCAAAAATACATTTCATGGATAACAGAATTAGGATTCCAAGCCAGGTGTTCCTGTGCCCTAAGCTTGTGTTCAACATAATGTTGCATCTGTGAGGGAGGGAGGCCATATTGATTTTGTATCTATAACATGCCAGGCATTTGACCAAAATTATGTTTAATGTTTACAGAATCACAGGAGGCATTTTTTTTTCCTTTCCAATTCCTACTTTACTGCTGACCATTACTTGCAGGTCACTTCCTTTTGCCACACATTTGTCATTCACTCGTTCTTCAACCCCAGAAGTAATATGGATACCTTAGACTCTACCATAGAGCTGAAAGTGAAGATCCTCTCTGACTTCACAGTTGAACCATTCCCTGGAACTTGGCTTTATGGAGCTCTGTCTCTGTATTTCCGTGACAAGCCTAGAGAGGCAAAGGGGCAGGGTACTTAGGATGCCATCTGTATTCTCAAGGGGTTATACTGCCTATGGAACTAGGAAATATTTCTGTGCTTCCCAAGTCCCTTGTGGGTCTTCTCAGCTGGCAATGAAAAGAATCCCCAAATCTCATCTAGGTGGATGCCCAAATATTTGTGCCCCGTCCCCTCAAGAGCCTACTCAGGAAAATGCAGGTGAAAGAGACTAGATTGTGCTCCAGAAAACTTTGTATTTGATGAAATTCTTAGAATGTCAGAGTCAGAAATGCTCTTCTAGATGATCTAAACCTGACTTTTTAAAGGTGTAGCCAGATCTAAAATTTGATGGAATGCCCAAACAGGAAGGATTCTTAGTGTGATCTAACCCTACTCGATAGTTATATGGAGTGGAAAATGAGGATCAGAGAGAAGATGGACTGGCCCAAGGTTGCACAGTATAAAAGCCACCGAGCCAAAGCATGAACCCAGGTCTCCTGACTCCAGGCCGGTGCTCTTTTCTCCTCCACGAGGCCACCTCCCACCCATGAAGCACCCCTGACAAGACAGTCCCTGGGTCACACTGTTCTCTCCATGTATTGGCTGGGGGCTCCCTGCAGCATATTCTCAGGACACTCGACACTCTAGTCTTTAAGAGCCCCCCCATTCTCCTAAGGCTCAGCCAGGAATGGCAAAACCAAGGCCAAGGCCCTGTGGCTGGTGCTTCCTTCCATCTCTGGATCAGTCCAGTGCTTGGAGAAAAGGAAGCTTGGATTACCTGGGCCCTCGTTCTGCTGAGTCGGCGGTCGGGGCAGCCAGTGTGACAGCAGAATTCGATCCCTCCTTTGACTCAGCACCAGGGCCTAGGAGACCCTCACCTGTCAGGCTCTGAGCCCTGCCAATGATGCTTATCGCCTTTGCCCTTGCAGGTGATCTCCTTTCCTCCTTAGCTTAGAGCTAATAGTTTGCCTCATGCCTGGGGCTGAAAAGAATGCCTGGAAGAGATACAAATGCTGGGTCCAGGGAGGAGCCATCAACCTGGAATGTCTGGAGGTAGCAACGATTGAGGAAAGGTTTTGGGACTCCTGAGCCCTCTACCCTAAGCCGTGTCTGAAGTGGTCCCTTCACTGTCTCGTGCATCAGAGTTTCACTGATGCCTCTTATGTGCCCAGCACTACCCTAGGTTCTGGGAACACAGTGACCTTAGTCAAGTGAAAACAGTAACTATGCTCTTCCTGAGTCCAGATGTGTGGTGTCTTCTTGCCCCTTGTCCATCCATGCATCCACGTATCCATCCATGAAGAACTGAACCATTTTACTGAATAAACATTGAAGGAACAAATGTTTGGTGAAGTTTTGCTCAAATTGCCACATGTTTTGTGAGGAAGTCTAGGATACAAAAATGGATGACACACAGTCCTGTCCATCAGGAACTCACAGTTAGTGAAGGAGATAGACAATTAAAGAAAGAATTCTAAAATATGTACCAAGAGCTGTAACCAGACCAAGTACAAGAAGCTATGGAAGCCCAGGACATCCTGAGGGTATCAGAGAGGTGAGGTTGGAGCTAGATCTCGAAGGCTGAACTGCTTGCCTGAATACATTAGTAGTAGTAGCAGCCCTGAGAAATACCAGGGCTGGGAAAAATCTCTTAAGTGCCGGGGCTTTTCACATGTTATTCGCTCTCTCTAGACATTCTCCCTTCTCCACCTTCTCCTAATTAACCCCTCGCTCATCTTTCTGATCTCCACTGAGAGGTCATTTCCTAAGGGACACCTTCACAGAGCTCCCTGATGAGGTCTAGTCCTCTTACTCTTTAACAGCCTCGTGGTACCTGTCCTCCGTCGCTCTTATCAGAGTTGAAATTGGCCAATTAGATGTGTGATTATTGGATTAAAGTCTGCCTCCTCACTGAAGCGTAAGTTCTGGAGGAGTAGGAGCTTCATCTGTATGACTCACTGTTACAGCTTTGTCTTTAGTGCAATGTGTAACATATAGTAGGCATTCAGTAAATATGGTTAAGTACAGGGTGCATGGATAGAGGGGTGGATGGAGGCATGGATGTGGCTGCAGGGTAGCTGGTGATGAGACTGCAGATTTTTTTTCAGGGGCCAAAAAAAGTTTCATTTATTTTTTTCTCTTTTTCCTCTTCTTTCCCCGCTACTCCTTTAACCAAGCCAGTTCTTTCATTCTAAGGGACATTGGTTTCCTTCCTTACTCTGTTTTATATGATATAAGAAAGATCATAAAGAACAGATCCCACAGGCAGATCTCCTCAGGCACAGAGCAAAACCAAGGGCTTATCCTTTGTTTGTTGTTTGAGCCTGTCTGCTTGGATATGAATGTAATAGTGTGTTTATTACAGCAAGTACCTGTCAGAGTCACACTTGTGTTCATAGCCATGCACATTTACACATGGACACCTGAGCACAGCTCTTGCCTGTTCTTGGTTCTGTCTTGCTAAGATTTTTTTTTTAGACCCTAATAGGATAGTGATGAAATGGGATCTGGCATCATGAATTGGGAGCACAGAGCCTCGACGAATTTAGAGCAGAGATGCAAAGGCCAGGGATGCCACATGGGAGGGACTCCTTGTGAGCTTGGTTCTCCCTGTAACAGGATGGGAAGGAAAGACCATTGGATCATAGGGGTTGTGCTGAGATGCAGTGGTCTTAGGCAACTGATGATATTTTTCCCATTGGTGAGTCACTGAGCATTAGAGCCCAATGTGAACTTTAATAAGAGAGGTCTTACTTTCAACTGCCTTCTGTATTAAAGGGTCACACAGTATTGCTTTTGGTGTGTGGAGGGGTACACTTATTGCTTTGAGAAACCAGCGGACTAATCCTGCCTCTTTATTTCACAATTGGGAGTCTTGAGGCCCAGAAAAGATAAGCCACTTAACCAAAATCACCAAGTAACCTCTCCAGTTGGCTGAGGTTTGTTAGACTAGAACCCAGGTTTTCTAAACCCCTCACAACTGCCTTTCCACTATGCCAGTATAATATATGCAATTTCAAAAACATCACTAAGAGCCAAAGTTGTACCCAGTATTAAACTAGGTGACAGGGAGACAAAGATTGAGCTGGATATCGCCCGTGTGTTCAGTGAGCTCACAGTCTTACACCAGCTGCAGGTTCATAAACAGACATTAGAAAAAAACAGTGTGCTTAGTCCTTGGATGGGGACAAAAAAGTTTTAGGGGGTTTGCAGACACTCCTGACTTCCCCATAAGATTACTCTGGATTCAGATCAGTAATGACTTAACTCTGCATCTTTTCCTCATCTTTGGGGCACCACAGAGTTGGAGGAACACGGGGAAGAAAAGCAACACATCGGTATGTGCTAGATACAGACTAGAATGGCAAAGAAAAAACAGGACGTCAACTTAGATTTAAATCACTGCTCTGGCCCTGCCAGGCTGATATTGGCTGAGTCCCTTTCTTGCTCTGAGCCTCAGAATCTTCATCTGAAAAGTGGGAATAGCAGTGCTCACCTCACATGTTGTTTGGAGAACAAAAAAGATGACAAACACATAAAGCATGTGACATCAAGGACATCTGTACTCCAATGCTAGAGGAGAGGGATCCCACAGACCATTGTGCCGAATTCCTATGAATTCTTAACATTTGATCTTGACAGTTCTTGGGCAGATTACATTCAGCTTATATTGTATTATAAATTATGTTTTTAACCACCTACGACTGGAAAAAGTAGGGGAAGGGTGCTCAAATTTTCTCATCATTTCCTCAAGTAAAATGAGTCCTACTTTAGAGAGATGTAAGTGATCTATCCTGTGGCTTTGCATACCCCAGCCTAGAAGCCTGTCTACCAGCAGAACCATAGTTGAGTTGGGGAAAACTTGGCTAGATAAGTCTTTACAAATGGTAGAAGTGATAACTTGTCCAAGGGGGTGTTGACATCTGAGGCCAGGTAGGCTGTCTACAGAGTTTTTAAAAGGATATGAGATAGCTGAACAATGGCAGGGCCATGCCCCACCCACTCCTGGATGCTAACAGGCCACCTTCCTTTTGCCTTTCTCTCCACTTGCAGCCCTTCATGGGAGACAATTACTGTGATGCCATCAACAACCGAGCCTTCTGCAACTACGATGGTGGGGACTGCTGTGCCTCTACAGTGAAGACCAAGAAGGTAGGCCCCCCCTGGGCAGCCGCCGCCTGCAGGTCTCTCCAGCTTCCTAGCCAGGAGCACCCTGCATGCTGGACAACTCTGCCCACAAGCTATGCTATATTGTATTGTATTTTTTATTCTTTGAGGCAGTAGTTGAGCTAATATTATGGGCTGGGCCCTGAGCTGGGTGGGCAGGCTCGTGAATGATCTTTGCAGACTTGGTTCCTTACCCTCAAAGCTTGGAGCCAGGTATGGAAGCAGACAAATACAAGTGTAATCAATACTTTTAGAAGGAGAGGATAGAGCACCGTGAGGGCCCAGGCCAGAGGTTGGAGAAAGGCTCTACCGAGGGATCAGCATTGACCCTGAAACTTAAGGGATAAGGAGAAGGAGTGGGGAGGTGTCCAGGAAAAAGAGTTTCTGGGGCAAGAGACTAGCTTGTAAAATCCTAGAGGGAACTTGCATTTTTAGGGAGTATGTCTAAAATCTAGGGGCAGAGAGAAGATGGGACATTCTTACCAAGGTAAGTCATAGCCTTTGATTATTTTATAATTTCTTTTGTTTTTCACACTTGTAAAATTAGGGGGAGTGGTCTTGGTTGTGATTTTCTTCCTTTGCATATTAGGGTGCAACAGGAATGATTCCAGTGTCTTGAGTAAAACTGGAACATTTGACTGTGATGCATACCCACCACTCACAAAAGAGTGGCCACCCCACTTTCTTCCTGATGAGAGTTGGGACCCCAGCCGAGAGCTAGGGGAGAGGTGGTCAGACTGGGCAACCTGGGTTGAGGAGTGCTCTGGTCATGAATGGGTTGATGGGGAGCTATTTCTGGTTTTGTACTCATCTACAATCTGAGCCAAAAAATCATTGGAGGTAATCTCTTTCTCTCTAAAGAAGGGGGAACGGTGTTCCCGAGACTGGTCGTAGTCAGTCTTGGAACTGCTATCAGTGATTATCTGGTCTAAACTTCTCATTTCCTAATGGGAGCACTGAGGCCCATACAGGAGAAATGATTTGGCTGCGGTGGCAGAGTGAGTGAGAGAAAGAGAGCAAGGTGTCTGGCTTGCTACCTAAGTACCTTTATATCGCATCATCCTTAAAAGAATTAGTTCCTTTAAGAAAGATGCTTTGACCCTAGAATGTGGGGATGAACAGGGCAAGACCCAAAAGAACACACTCAAACTGCATCTTTGGATAGATGACCAGGGCTGCTGAGGTTCTCTGGGGTCAGCCAGTCTTGTATGGACAACACTTCAGCATGCCCACCCCCTCCTTTTTTTTTTTTTTTTTAAACACTGAAGGTCAATACTTTCTGCTTAAATACAGTAGAATAAAATTCATTTCCTACTAATGACTTTTATTTTTCTCCCAATATGAAACAATACATATTCTACTTTTTGGAAAATCCAGAAAGCAGAAGAGAACAACAGAATCATTGCTCATCTTACAACCCGGAAATAGCCATTGCTTTTCCTTCTGCCATATTTTACTGGGTTTAAGTGTGTGGTATTTGTACCTGTGTATATCTCACTGACATTCTAGTGTGGGATCCTGTTTTGTTCTGTTTTGACTTAGCCCAGGAAACCTGATACATAAGAATGATCTGATATTATTATAAACTTTCCAGCTGCAGTTTTTGCTCTATTATTATTTATTAGAGGGTTGTGATGTATCATAGTTTATGATACAGGCTGTTCACCTCAGGCTGTTCTTTTTAACTCTTGGGTTACTTCAGTTTCTCACAATGATAAATAATGAGGCTTGTGAATATCTTTGCAGATAAATATTTCTCCAGTTCTGTTCCTTGACAATTGCCTTTTAGAGCTGACATGACTAGAATAAAAGGTGTGAGCATTTATAAGGCTCTTGACGCCTGGTGCCAAGTGAATACAGCATACAATAGTGTCGATTTGACTTGGTGGAGTCCACCGTTTTCGAAAGTGAATGGACAATGAAGTTTGTGTTTTAAATAGAAGTTTGGGTAGAATTATGACACAGTATTCATGTGACACCATCAGTGTAAGAGCAGATCTGATTAGAAGAATTTTCCTACCAACTAGAATTTATATATAAAAACATAAAAAAAAACCCTAATTTATTTTTATTGGGAGACTTCCTTAAATGGATTGCTGTTTCTACAGAGTGCATGGTAGGAACATGAAGTCATGAGACTGAGGTTCAGGTGCAGATTCCAAATGATTACAGTCACTTGAAAAAATATACATGTACACCAAATGGCCATTTTGACACTCTGTTCATACTGGGTTCAGTTGCAACAATTTCAGATGTCAGGACCCTTAGGTGTTGCCTCTTTAGTAAGGGACCCAGAGTAAGTTCTTTGCTAGTTCTGAATATGCTTCCTAGTCTTTTTTTTTTCCTTTCCTTTTCTACCCACATTATATATGTAATTTTGGCTTTCTGGGTTAAGAGATCCCCTTCCACTTTAAATTGGTGATCCTTCTTATTGGCTGAGGCTGCAGAATGCAGATGGCCAAGCTTCCTTCATTGAGTGAGATGCATGTTCCTTGAGCATCTGGGAGGGCTCAGCACTGTACCGAGCTGTGTGCCCTGGGCAGAGTCTGGACAGACTGGCCCCTGCCCTTGCGAAGCTCGAGGCCCGTTAGGGGAGCCAGGCATCCAACCAGGCATTGTAGTGCCTTTGTCAAAGGGCAGCAAAGGAAAGGAGCAGGATCTTATGGAGATCAGTGTGAAGGTCAGGGAAGGCTTCCCTGAGGAAGCAATGTCTACACTGAGACCCGAAGAGTGAGTAGCTTTCCTGGAGAAGGTGAGTGGTGGTTGAAGACAGGATGGAGAGGCCTGGAAGCCCTATGTGGGAAGTGTGGATGGCAGAGCCTGCTGCCTTCTCTTCTGGTGCAGATGGCTTTGCCAACTGAGGCAGTTGCCATAGTTGTTCCTTATTCACAGTATTTGGTGTTTTCTTCGGATTTGAGGTTCCTGGGAGTCTGACTTCTGGAGGAGAAAGGGATCTCAAATTAAACTCGTACTTCCTACCATTCAAATTCCCCAGTTTAACTGGTAAATAACCTCCAGCTTCTCAAATGCTTTAACACTCTCTTGTACACGCCCAACTCCACTTCCTGCCGTAGACTGGTTTATCGAGACAGCAGGTGGAGAAATAGAGAATGAAAAAGGCACCCCTAAGTGAACTGCCACAACTGTCAGACATCCTGCCAGACACGTGTCCTCCATCACCTTCTTGAATCCCCGTGGCAACTCTGACAGGTCTCTGTTAGCCCAGTTGCCCAGGCGAACCAGTTTGGGCTCAGAGCACTTGCAGGACGTGCTTGAGTTCACTTGGCCACTAGTGCCGAGGCCCAGATTCAAGCCCAGGCCTGCCTGACGCATGAGCCCAGCTCTTTCTTGTGTGTGGGGCCGACTCCTCAGTGTGCCTGGGCCTAACCCTCGCAGTTCTGGCTGGAGACAATTCACCGTGAACCCCGACTGCCAGGGAACCTTGGATGGGGGGCCCCTCCCTTGGCCAAGATGAAAGCGGCTTTTCCCAGCAGCAAAGACAGGGTGGGGAATGGTTGAGGCTCCCAGCCTTGCCAGCCATCCCTGACATCCCAGACAGCAGTTTCCTCTGAGTGGAAAAAAAGTCCTGCTTTCTATCTCCAGCTTCCCCAGCAGGAAGCCTCTTACGGCAGGAGAGGGGCCAGAGGCTGGCTTCCGCCCTCTCACTCCCTGCTCCGTGCTGCTGGTCCTGGTCAGTTCCTAGCTGAACTCTTGGCCCCAGGCACCCATCGTGGGGCGTTCCCTGCCTACAAGCACACAGCCTGGCACTCAGAAGCTCACAGGTAGGGCAGATTTGCTTCATGCACCTTCCACAGCGACAGTAATGTCATTAATGGAGCACATACTATGTGTCTGGCCATGGTTTGGAGTCTCTACCTCTTGTCTCACTTTGAGACCGCAGGAAAAACCAGACAAGGTAGACGCAGTGGAGGCTCAGAGAGGTGAACTCCCTTGTAGGAGGTGACAGAGCTGAGTGTAGGCGTTAGGATTTCCTGGCTCCGAACAATAGTCACTACTATTTATGGAGGGCTTACGATGTGCCCTGCATAGTGGTAACTGCTTTTGCAAGTGCCATCTCTTTTCATCACTCCGTCACCCTATTGTAGGTGCTGTCTTGTTAGCCTCATTTTATAGACAAGGCAGCTGAGGCTGAGAACGGCTGAGGTCCCACGGCCAGCAAGTGGTAGAGCTGAGAGGGAAACCTCGTGAGCCTGAGTCACGAGGAAGTTGCCTCTAACCCCTATTCTGAACATCTAGTTGTAATGAGCTTGCATCTTGCCCAGGCATTTTACCCTTCCCCTGGTGGGTGGTCTTCTTCCTTCCTAGTGCGCCTGGACAGGAGTGCCAGGTATGAACTCAAGGCCAAGGGTAAGCACACAGCATCTTCTCCCAGATGTCCTTCTAGTGAACTCTCTAACTTAACCTCTTCCCAGTCTCCGGGGCTCAGGCCTCCTGGTCACTTGGCCCAGAATGATGTCTGTCTGCTCCCTTCATCCTTCCTCCCCTTGTTGGTCTGTCCAGACGCCAGCTGTTCCCCACATCTGCCTTGTGGGGTGACCTGGGCCCAGCTGGCAGACAAAAGCAAGTGCAGGAAACCCAGTCTGACAGCAGTGACCGTTTTCCCATCCAGACACCTGTCTGCAGTGCGAGGCAGACAGGAAGGGGTGGGACTCAGCTTCTCAGCGTGTCAGTTTATTATTTTCCTGTTGGAGCCTTGAGGAGTCTCGAATACAGAGATTTCCAGAATGGTTGCTTCAATAATTTACCCTCATAACAAAAAAATTTCATTTATAATTGGAATCATCCTAAGGAAGCATGTGTTGGAGGTTTAAGGGAAGAAGGGGAAACAGCCTTATTCAACATAGCAAGGTTTTGTAAGGCATGGTGGCCTGAAACACTACTTATGGTCATGGTTTAGACAGCTGCTAAGAGACTGATTCTGGAAGATGTCTGGGAAGTTGGGGTGTAGTCCTAGTTCTGTGACTTACTTCTGTGACCCTGGGCAGGCCAGGCTCACCTTTGGTTTTTATCTCTTGACATTTGGATGATATTCATGTCTAAGGATTCTCCATCTGGCTTCCTGAGGGAATTGGCCATTGGTGAGAACCTGAAGGCTTTTTGGGGCAGAGACCAGTAAAGATTAGGAAGAAATTAATCCCAGAAACATCTCAGCACAGGATTGCATGCCCAACTGATGACATTAAGTATAGGGTTGTAATATTTATTTGCTAAATCTAAGTGAAAACGTGGTTTTGTAGGGAAGGACATTATACCCAAACATAGCCCATTGGTCTAAGGAGTCTAGTCATTCTAAAAATCCTTAGATGGACAGCAGCCTTCTATGCTGCTGGGTGGTCCATGCTAAAGGGTTGGGTATTGGGCTGCAGAGTTGGTGATGTCCATCAATGGCTCTTAAATCTCAAATTAGCAAACAGAATGGTCTTCCTAAAACAAGTCTTGTGGTATCACACCTCTATGCAAAGCCCTTCAAGTGTCTCCCCATTTTACTTAGAGTAAAAACCAGGCCTCCCAATGACCTATAAGGCCCTATGTGCTCTGCCTACCTCCATTACTTCTCTGACCTTACCCCCTACTATCAGTACCTTCCCTCACTTAACTCCAGCCGTCCAGCCAGGTGTCCTCCTACCTTACAGACTTTGTCACTGGCTCCTCCCTTAGCCGAGAACATTCTTCTCTATTCATCCACATGATTCACTTCCCCTCACCTCCTCCAAGTCTTTGCCCAAGTGTCAGGTTCTCAATGAGCTCCATCCTGACCACCCACCTTACATTACCCCTGGCACTCACGCACCCATTTGCTTTGGATTCCACTTTTCTTTCTTTCATAACCCTGATCACCTTGGCACTATAAAATGTATTTATTATCTCATAATTCTTAGCCCCTTGCTGATCAAATGAAAATTTCGTGAGGTCAAGAATGTGCATCTGTTTGTTCAGTGATGTATCAATAGTTCCGATGTACCCCACTGTTGAGCACCTGCTATGGGACAGATACTGTTCTAGGCCATGAGCAAGATGGACCTGGTCCCAACCATGCTGAGTTCATGTCTTGTGGACTAGTGGCCACATATTTAGAGTATATTAAGTGCTAACAGAGACAGAGCCAGTGAGGAGAGTCAACAAACCTTCCTGGAGAAGGAAACTCCAAAGGTGAGACATGAAAGGCATAGTAGGTCTTAGCTAGGTAAAAGGAGTAGGGGGGTGGAGGACCAGAGATTAGGATGCGAGAGAAAAGAGTGTTTCTGGCAGAGGGCACAGTCTGTGCAAAGGTCCAGACATAAGGAAGCATATTAAGGAAACCACAATTCCCTAAGTGTGGCTAAAGCACAGAATGAGAGGGGATGTAAGTAGTAAGAGGTAAGAAAATGAGCCTTGAGCAGACTTTTTAAACCAAGCCAGGGAATCTGAACCTTATCCACACAGCGTAGGAGTGTTCAATGATTCTAATCACTGAACTAGTCTAGAGGATCCTAGAAGGCTTCCTGGAAGAGGGGCTAGACATGTTTAGCTTGGAAGATTAATAAAAGACAACAGGAAGATGACTAAACAGACTACACTAATTCCTCCTTGTCCCAAAAATCACTGGCTTCTGGAGTGTTATAATTTTTCTCTATTTGAGGTGTAGCTTTGACTTTTTCATGTGGCTGAATTAGACACTCATTTTAGTTTGATCCTACAAAGGGATCAGACCCTTCTATCCCCCCAAATTATCATCCTCATAACCATTGTCAACATCATCATGACCACCATCAACACCAACATCACTGATCTCACTGTCGCCCTCATCATCCACCACCATTTACTGAGCATATATTATATGCCATGTACCATGCTAAGTGCTATACATGAATTTTATACTTTACCTAAAATACTTTCAATGAGCAGGACTGGTATTACTTCCATCTTACAAACAGAGAAACTGAAAGGAAAGTAACTTGCCTAACGGCATACACTAAGTCACCAACAGGGCAAGGAATCAAACCCAAATCTCATTCCCTTTTCTCCACCTTACCCTCCACATGAGCACTGTTTCCACATTTAAACAAGCCTCTGTATTCATGGACTCCTCCATGCCCTGTACCAGGCATGTATCTACCCTACCTCCAAGGAGCTCACAGGGAGTCCTTGTACTTGACATCACACCTTGGTCTACTGGATCTCATTAAATCTTTCCATCAACACGATGAAGTCCTTGGGACTCAGAGTGGTTAAGTAAGTGACTTGCCCAAGCTCCCACAATGGGCGGGTGGACAGTTAAGGCTTTCTGATGTTTGGCATAGGATGCGTCTTGCTCCCCACACTGCACACTCTGCTTGTGACCTCCCCGTTGAGTCTGAGTCAGAATCCCACCCCTGCCTGTCTCCCAGCGTCAGAGGACCTGCAGCCAGGGCCTTGTGGTGCATTTGCCTGGGCTGCATTCCTGAGCAGCTCTCTCACACACACACACACAGATGGAGGTGTTATCCTGGGCAACTCACCCAGAGGAGAAACTCCTGTGCCTGAGCACCATCTCCAGCCCAGAGGAAAAAAAATAGAGAATCCTGGCCTTTAGTCATTGACCTGGGCTTGTTGACAGAATCCTAGAGTGGGTGGCCAAGCCATTTATGGGATAGCCTAGACACATGGTGCTGGGAATCCCAAATGTAAACTGGCCACCACAGCGTTTGTGCTGTGGGTGGTAGGTTTTCTTGGGAGGCCATCTGTGGGAGAAGGTAGGAAGCTGCTTGGGGAACCAGGGAATCTGGGAATTGGGCTCAGAGCTGACTTTACCAGGATGTGGCCCTTTTTTCTGTGCTTCAGTTTCTTCCTCTTTCAAAAGGGGACCTTGACTCCTGCTCTGCCTGCCTCCTGGGGGGAGGGGGCAGTACCAAGGAGTGGTTACAAACAAGGATGCAGATCACAGGCCACCTGCCAGCCAAGTGACTTACCTCTGTGCATCTTAGTTTCCTCTAAGATGTAAAAATGGGGCTAGTAAGAATAGCTACCTTATCAGGGTTGCTGGGAAGAGTGAGTGAGATAATGCACACTGGGTTGATTCAGCCAGGCACATAATAAAGGGATAAAAGGCTATTGGCTGTAAAAACATAAAGCAGCAGTCAACCTGGCCAGGTTGTGAAGGAGGAGCCTTCTTACTCTCTCTGGCTGAAAAGCTCTCAGTGTTTGGAGTGGACTTTCGAATTCTATGTCATCTAGTTAGTTACTGATGGGTAGTGAGGCCTGGGGCAAGTTTGCTTTGTTCTAAATGTTCTGAAACCTCTCTTTTCTCATCTGCAAGATGGGTTGCTAACAACGGTAGCGTCACAGGGTTGTGCAGAGTGGACTAGCCAGGAGGTAGGAATTACCTGACACATGGAAGGCCCTCAGGAAGTGCTTGTGTGTGTGTGTGTTAAAGTGATGTTCGCTGCTGTGCACCTGCCTCTTCCAAGTCAGACCAAGGAACACCTGGGAAGTGGCTAGAGCTGCTAGTCTCTACCCTTCTGTTCCCACTTGTAGGCCCT